TAGACACCGCCCAGAAAGCCGCCCGCCGCCGTGTCAATCTCTATACTCGTTCGTCGCTCGCAGTCCGAAAAAGCCAGATGTCTTTGCTTCATCTCAGCCATCAACCAGTCAGGTGCCCAACCTTGCAGCGGCGGCCATAGTACGGATACGGCGAGCCGTTGCATTGTTATCTTTGACCGTGTCGTTCGTATACCTTAAGTCGACTAAGGTGCAGGTCAGAGCATGGCCCCGTCAGCGTGCCACATGCAGGCGCAGATTTATCTTATCAGCCTTAGACATGTCGCTGATTTTTCTCAATGGATAGGGTTTAGGATCTGACACTGAAATGAAAGAAACATACGTACGAAAAAACAAAACGAAAAGGAACAAGGGCTTTGTCCTCTGTCGAGGTTTGAGATCTACTGTCAAGAGAGACAAACCGGAAGCGAGGAGGGGGAATGATGATTCTTTGATAGATGTGATCCCAGGACTCTGGAGTTCTCGCCTCAATTGTGCATAATTACAACAATGCAAAGTCGGATGGTGCAGCAGCAGCAGCACGCATCGCAGCTGGCTGCACCTCAGCGCATGCGTTGTTGTAGGTAGGTTACCTGAGGAGCGGTACGGCAGGTGGGAAAAGTGCCCCCCAATATGCGACGAGTACAGCAACCAACATGAAGTATGTGCGCTGCATATAGTACTGCTTGCACCGTTTGGTTTTGGGCAACGACTGTGTCCGTCGTGGGCCTTTCCTCTCTCCCCCCTTGGGACTTCATGTCAGCAGCAGCATCCACAAGTAAGCAAAGCAAGCTGTGGTTGTTGCGTTGCGTTGCCCCTGCTTGGACTAGGTAGGGAACTGGAGCTAGCTGGCAGCAGTCGTATGGAGCAGACAGGGTGGTTGAATACGGCAATGGTTGCTGGAGATCATTGCCTCGTATGCCGTGATAAGTACGCATCATGTCGACCCCGGTTGCCCCTTGTGGATTGTGTTTTTTTTGTGCTTCTCCAAGCGCAGGCAGGCCAATTGCAACGTGGACGGCGAGAGAGGAAAAAAGAATAAACTGAGGCGAAGTGACTGGTCGAGGCCTGTCGATGAAGACGACAAGACTAACAGTTGTGTGTACGTACTTACAGTGTTGTACACAATGGCCCAAGCTCCCTCTGCCCTTGGAGTCAAGGGGAGGGGAGGAAAGGGGACCTGGACGGGATCTGTGAGAAAGAGACAGGGTGGGAGGGAAGGGTGTGCTGTGCTGGGGCCCCCTGTTCGCGGATGCAAAGCAAGGGTCTGGTGCCCCCCTCCTCCGCTCCCCCATGTCGTGTCGTGCAGTTGGATGGTTCCACTCACTCTTTGGTCCAGGCCATTCCCTTCTGGGCCGCACTCGCTCTCTCTCTCACTCAACTGGAGGAACAGCGAGTGAGGTGAGAAGCAGCATCAGCAGCAGCAGCAGGACGCACGCAACTCACTTTCAAGGGCAGCAAGGCAGTCGGGGGCATGAGCAGGGGCCAGGGGAAGGGGAGCGGGAACATGTGAGGCGGGAGGCAAGTCCAGCTCCGGTCACCCATGAACTCTTTCTCACAGTGTGCAATAAGCTGTAAGCTGTAAGCTGAAGATCCAATGGCCACCTCATTGTCTCTTGCTGCAGCTGAGAGAGAGAATGCAACCTGGGAGTTCAAGTCACATGATGTGAGAGCAACCTCCGAGACCCAGGCCTAAGGAATGTTTCCGTCATCCGTCACCTAACCTTCAACGTGTACTAACTCGTCAGAAAGTAAGCAGAGCAGTGGAGGATGCCCGCGCGGTACGTACCGCCAAACCTAGCTACCGTTCCTCTGTCTTGGATTCCGTTGTTTCCCAGCCCGCTCCAATCCAATCCAATCCAACCCCAAATCCCAATCCCAATCCCACTCCCGCAGTCCACAATCTGCGTCTCGCTTTCTGTTGCTTGGCTTTCCAACAGCCAACGCCTTGCCTTGCCTTGCCTTACCTCACTCACCTTCACACGTCTTAGTCTGACATTCATCCGTCCCACTTATCCCACTTGCAAACTCCGTTTCTCCTCCGCTTTTTACTTTCTTCCCCAGAGACATACAGCTCGTCTAGCTAGTAGCCCGCCCATCTCCAATTACCTATCGTACCCTCGTCTTTTGGTCCTGTCTTCTTACTCTCGAGCAACGGGCAACAAGCAGCCGAGCCAACCAACATTAGACGTTGTTGGACTGCCTCCGTACCGGCATCCGCGCCCGGATGACGAGTCTACCCGCCAACCATGACAACCTTCACCTATCTTGCCGTCCGTTCCCCTTGGAGTCGTTGATGCTCGTCCTCTGTCGTCTACTTCCACCTCGCACACACGCATCTCGCCCTCGGACCAACGCCTGGTCTGTTCCAATCGGCCGAGCCATTCCGCCACGCGGTCTGTCCTCCCTCGCCCTTCACCCATCGTTGCCCGGTGTACAAGGCACTGTACCTTTTCCTTTCCTTTCCTTTGCCCCCACTGCCAGCCCCAGTCAGTCAGTGTATCCTATCCCGTTTATTCTCCTTCTCCAATCCCTGCTCCCCATCCTTCTCTGATGCTCCCCGAAGCGGAATCTTCACAACCACCCTAATCCCTACCCTTCTGACGGCTCGTTTCCCTATCTCCATCCTCCAGATCGACGACTCGTGTGGATCTGCTTCTGCCCTTTGACCTGGGCCTGCTCGAGCTGTCGCTGCCCACAGATACGCCTGAGCTGGTATCGCCCCGTTCTACATGACCTTACATTGCTTACCGTACCGTAACCTTCGCACCTTTTCCTCCCCTGACACTACCTCCCCGTTGCATCTTGTGTACTTCTATTGCTACTATGCATTAGAAAGGAAAGGCGAGAGACCCGGATGCATAATCCACCTTGTCCAGCATCATCACCCTTCACACACTACTCGGCTCGCTCTGCTCCCTTCCATTGCCCCAGCTCCCCGTATCCATCCATTTTACTTTTTCTCACGCCAACTTGGAACGAACCGTTTCTACCGTCCCACGTCTTTGCCTTATCCTCGAGCAGGGTTCCCCGTCCCCTTCCTCGTCGTCCCTGTCCCTGTCTCTACGCTATCCTAGGCCCCAGCTTAAGCTCCACCCTGATCCCCCAGCTCTAGCACGCTCCACCGCCCTCTCCTTCACCATGACCACCATTACGGCCATTACCTATCAGTAGCAACGCACAGCACAGCGCAGCAACATGGCACTGCCCAAATCCAGGGATCTGCTCTCGGCACGAACCAACAACAGCCGCTACCATCTCCCTCTCGTCTCTCTTGGTTGCTGTCTGGCCACCTAATGGGTGAGAACAGTCCTTAGTATCCGTCCACCCATCCATCCCACTCCGCAGGCAGGATCTTGAGATGGGGAACTCCAGTTGAACCCACTACCGGCAGCATCTTTTCGCCGTCAACGTCCCGTGGGGAACCTGGAGAATCTGGAAACGGCAAGAAACAAGGCCCATCTTCTCTTACACGCTCTCAACGTGCATCTGAACGTCTGGGTTCCCCCCAAGTGTCCCCTCTCTCTCTTCTCACACCGACCCAGGTGAGTGCCACCTACGTTGCCTGCATGCCCAGGAAAGGCTTCATCCGGCCCAAACCGTCTTATCCATGCTTCAACCGCCTCTGGCCTGACCTTTTTTGGTTCTGTTTTGCCTCTGTGCTGAGCTGCCGGCTGGGTGCCGAGTCTCTTGTCCCTCTTGTCTGTTTCTCTTGGTCAGGTTGCCTCGTCCAAGCGGCCGAAGAGCTCTGGCCTGCACACAGAACAGAGACCTATCCAATGCCCTTGGACCCAAAGGCCAAGGGTCTCTGCGAGCGAGCCAGCCCATGTCCACCGCGCCCAAGAACGGGCGGAGGGTACATGGCCTCTGCATTACTGCCAGACCAGTACATGGCCCGTTTCTTTTTCCATCTAATTGGTCCGTCCTCGTTCTTACACATCGCTGGTCTCTGCTCTGCACAAGACATTCTCACCCACGGTGGTGGCCTACCTTACTCTAATGTCACTCGCGCGCACATAGATACACACCTTTATGTCAAGCCAGCCTCTCTCGTTGTGCGTGTGCCTGTCTCCTCTCCCTCCTCTCTGCTCTGGGGTGGGTAATCCAGATCTGCTCTGCCATAGTACTTTTTGCCCACGCCCTCACAGCCCCCGTGTACATGGGCTTGTACTTCCTTCATTCTGTATAAGCCAACGGCATAGCATATCTAAATCAGGCCTTTCTCTTTTTAACCGTTCAACGTCCGCTCCCTCTTCTCCGCGTCGCATATCCTCTCGCTCTTACAAGCTCCATCTCTCGTCCCTTCCTCTAGAAACACCCGGACTCTCACTCCATGCTCGTCCCTCTTGGACTCTGGGTAATGGCCGTGACCGTTTCCGTTCCTGTTTCGTGACCCCGTTTTTCCAACTTCGTCGTGGTCGTCGTCGCCTGTCTGTCTGTCTACCTCGCAGTCGGCTAGATTCCGCTTCACTCTCGACCTAGGCCGCGATCCGTGGCCCTCGGGGCTCTTCCCGCACTTCACATCGCACCCTTACACAAAAGCCTGAATAGTGCTTGCTAATCCCGACTCCGCCTTACACGCACACGATCATCACACAGACATCTCACTCGCACCGCCTTCAGAACTCTAATACACCTTCTGCCCTTGTCCTTTTCTTTAATAGTGGCTTGCCCCTCCGCCGTCACTTCATCCTCCGGACTTGTAATTCTTTCGTTAGACCAAAAAGATACCCTTTTTTCTTTCTTTCAGAGTTGCTTCCTTCCAATCGTCGAGAACACACTCGCCCATTAATCACACAATGTCTTCAAGCTCCAAGCCCAGACAACCTCGCCTCCGGGCCTCTTGCGATGGCTGCTTTCTCGCCAAGGTCAAATGCTCAAAAGCCCGTCCCATATGCTCCAGATGCCTCGCATGCGGCCTGGAATGCCGATACTCCCCCTCCAGCAGGGCTGGCAAGCCGAAATCTGACAACAGCGCACCGAGCCACGCAAACACCGTCCACATGGACATGACGGATCTCTCGCCCATCATGGACGAGAAGAACATGATGTTCGCACAGCACCCCGGCGCCGGCATGTACAAGATGGAGAACGGCTGGCACACGCCCACCAGCATGGAGGGTGCCATGACCAGAAACCCCTCCATCTCTTCAGGGCTCGCCCTCTTGGGCGTCGACGACGCAACACCCAGAGACCACCAAGATCCCACCGCCGATATGTACGGAGGCGCCATGCCATGGACTCCTCCCACCGATTTCTCCGCCGCTCCCTACCCCGATATGACCATGGCCACTGCACACATGCCCCCACACCACCACCACGGCCGCTCACAGTCCATGGACATGGCCATGGCCGCCCACATGACGCCCTGGGGAGACGCAGCAGCACAGCACGAAGGCATGATGCAATATCAAGCAATGCCCACGCCCAACAGCATGGCGGCAGCAGCATATTTCCCGAGCCCGTCAACCACGCCCAACATGCGCCCCGCCGTCAGGCACAAGTCCTCGAATTCGGGGGGCGGCGGTTCTTGCACCTGCTTCACGGTCTGCCTCCAGTCCCTCCAGGCCCTCCACAACGCCTCATCTCCCTCCGCGCCACCATTCGACCTCGTCCTCTCGCTCAACCGCAAGGCCGTCGAGGGATGCGCCTCCATGCTCTCCTGCAACCGCTGCATGAGCCGCTCGGGCACGCACACCGCCGCGATGCTGCTGGCCACCGTCATCGGCAAGATCACCAGCTTCTACAAGAACGCCAGCCACACCTACTTCGAGAACGGCAGCGGCGGCAGCGGCATGATGGGCGGCATGGGCTCCTCCTCCGTGGCGGCGGCGATGAACCAGCTCAACAGCCCCGGCGCCGTGGCCGTCGGCGGCCTCGGCGTCAGCCTGGGCGCGTACACGCTCGGCGGCGAGGACGGGCGGTGGCTCGAGCTCGAGATCCTCAACCGCGAGCTGCGCAAGCTGGAGGAGGTCTACGCGCAGTTCCGCGAGGTGTGCGCCGATCTGTCCGAGGACCCAGAGGTCAGCAAGGCCATGATTGGCTACCTGGGCCACAACCTGGGCACCACCCTCGAGGTCGTCAGCCATCGCAAGGGCGACATGAGCTATGCTTAGTCACAGTTCATCCTATCAGGAAGACAAATCTAAAGAAAGCAAAGAAAAAAGACAACAAAAAAACGGGGTTTACAAAAAAAGGAACGCAGGCTGTGAAAGGATGAGAAGAAGCTTATCCCAATGTTGGGTGGACACAGAGGCGAGGCAAAAGGAGGGAACGAAGGGGCAAAAACGGAAGCGCTCGGAGGCTGCTGCTGCTAATTCAATACGACCGATATGAGCATTTTACTACTACTACCTACCTACCTACTACTGTTTACTTCCTTTCCACATGGAGTATCTATGGGAGTCCGGACCGGCGGCGCGCGCGCGAAAGAAACGGGTTAAACCGGGCTTTTTTTTGGGGGGGGGGGCTATGGGGGACTATTTTGTGTACATTTTACTTTCTCGGCGTCTTGATGATTCAACTAATTTTTCTTCTTCCACTTCTTTTCCGCGAGACTCATGGTTCGGCGTGGCGGTGTTTCACAAGACTTGTGGTGGCTCTTAGGTCACGATGCAAAAGATCATTCGCTATTGGAGGGGGGGATCAAATGGGAGACAGACATGGACATACACAGCACACATACACACATACACACATACACACACATACACACAGGAAATAGTGGGCACGGGTATTCGGGATCAGATCATCAATGGGAAAGCAGATCTTGCAATTTCATCGGACCAAATCATTGTTCGGATTATTCTTTTCATAATTTCCTCATCATAGCGGATTATTCCAGCGGGAGTAGGAGTCGAAGCTTTTTCTTTTCCGTTTTTGCCTTTCGTAAGGAGGAGAAGGAAGAGGAGGGGCCCGGTTCATCGGAAGGATGTCGTCCCACAAACCTTGCGCAAAGATTATGCCGTCAGTGAACTGGACGAGCAGGTGGAGGGAGGCAAGCAGACAGCCAAAGCATAGCGATCTCTTGAGTTTGCGGGACGTAATGGTGTGCGTGTTCTCCCCACCGAACCAAGTTACAGAATACAGAATACAGAGACGATGGCCAAGACAGCATAGCATCACTAGTCCAGACATGAAGTGCAAAGAGAAATGTCATCATCATGCCTTGTTTAGCGGCCCCCTCTAACCCTCTTCCGCACCGTCTCACTCCTTGCCTAAGAGAGTGCGCTGGAAAAAAAAGGAAGAGAATGCGCTGCGCGTCTAAACAATCATGTAACGCCAGATCTGACGCAACCTCGATCGCAGCGCTTCATGTGCTTGCCCCTCCGCAGACGTGCTTCCGCGTTGCCGCTCCTGTGTCCCAAACTCCGACAATTTCTTTTTTAGCAACTTTTCCATTCCGTCCGCAGTAAAACAAAATGTAGGAGGTTGGGGGTGCTCGTCCGCTCTCTCTCAGAGAAACAGAGAGAATCCCATCCTCCCCCACGTGCGCCTGTGTCAAAGTGGTTGCATGCTCCTGTTGAAGCGGTTGCATTAGCCTTGCCGGCTAGCCCTTCGGCACTGGCCCCGAATCGCTTCTAGCCCCAGGCACCCAGCCCAACTTGCGCTATTTCCCGCTCGTCAACCACTCATTCGTTGTTCCGCGCCATGTCTCCCGGACCGTTGGGCATTGCTAGCGAGGGGAAGGGAAAAGGATGGGGACAAGGCGGGCACGCACCCATTGCCTCCCATCATCGTGGAGAGTGTTCCCAATTACCTTTCTGGAGGCTTCAACCTTGTCTACTTAGCTTGTGATCTGTGGCTGACGTTGACGGAATCCTCCCAGCTGTTGGCGGCGGCGGCACGGACGGTTTGGAGATGTCCGGAAGGACGTGAGGAATTGGGGCTTATCTCATGCGGCGCTGGCCACATACCATACTTGCACTTACGGCTGCGTATGGACCAATGATGTGACGATGGGTCGGGCCTGGTTGGCTCAGCGTTTCTAAACATGCGAGTCAATGACGATTGTGACGATTGGCGAAAGAGCGTGTGGCTTAGACTGGGACGGGTGGGAATAAGGAAGTGTGGAATATTTTCCCCAATGCAGCATCAAAATTCCTGTTGGACGACGAGCTAACACCAGAATTCCAAAAATGCTTCTTTGGTGTTTTGCTTGGTCTGCGCCTGGCTAGCATGAATGTTTGAGCGGCTGTTTTACGGCTGAGGCGGAACCATGTTAGAAGGAGCAGCTATATGCCGGAAATATCTTGTTCAGTTGTAAGGCGGCCAAAGAATGTGTATGGAATTATCTGTGTTGCAGTTTTGGGGCTGAAGGCCTGCGTACGCGTACCGCGAGGCGAATGAGCTGAGATGGTTTTGGTGATCAGTCAGTCAGATGCCAGCCGCTGCCCGAGGCTGAGAAACGAAGTCGGAAACAGAAGAGGCATGGCAGTGAGCTATGCTCAGATGTTCGTCTTGTGATGCTTCATGCTGGAGGCTGTGAGTGTTGGAGATGTCAGAACCAGAACATCGGAAGGATGAACAGCGGGCACGGATGCTCTGATGATGGGAGGATGGAGTTCTAGCCTGCATGACATGAGGCAACGGCGCGGTGAAAGACAGAGGTTGACAAGAGCTAATCACTAATCAGGCCGGGTCGATGCCCAAGCTTCAGAGCAGAGAGCCAGGTCGGACAACTCTGCCCTCATTGTGCATAACGAACATCTTCAAAGCGAGGCGGCAAGCCCACGGCCCTTGTTTCCAGCCAGGATGATGTTCTCCCGACCAGAGCTCTGGGAGCTGAGAGGACTGTGCGCAGGTGTTGGAAGAGGGCCAGAGTGAATCGAAGCAAGGAGAAAGCATATCGACCACACGTGGATGTTCGGAAGAGCTCGCCGAGGAAACCCGTTTCAAAAGCTCTCTGTTCTCAGCTGTGTTCAGGCCCACTGCAGGCTGATTCGACTAAGATGTCGGATGTCCTGACGTTGCAGGAACTCTGATGACAACAGGTTTCGACTGGCTGACGGGGACGCAGACTAGGAGCCGCGGCAGCCGGTTTGACCATTGAAGACGGCCAAGAGACCTGATTTCTTCAGACTAATGCAGGATTATGCGAAAGCTCAAGATGATTTCGGAATGAATCCATCACCGGGAACCGTTTCATGGGTGAGGCGGGAGGATGCGAGGCAATGATAGACGGGAGAAGTTGAAAATGCGACGGAGCAGTGAGAAATGTGTCGAAATCACGACAAAAGTTGTCAGCACTTGGGCAGACTACCCTGAAGGGTCTGTCAGATGTTATGCGTAACCATAATTCACATGGAAATAACCGGCTCATCAGACCAGGCGGCTGTTTTCGAGTATGGTACGACAGCCCTAGAAACTTTCAAAGTCGAGGCCTCGAAACGGTCCGTGATGGTGCAAGCTAGGGGATGAACAGTAACTTTACTGTGATAGACTTTTGTCACCAAAAGGTAGACAGGCGTCGAGGGTTGATAAACTTGCAGCAGGTTACCCAAAGAGGCAATTCCATGGAGATTCTGGCGAACGGTTGGTAGTTGCGCGTCCTTTCATTGATTCGAATCTCCAACTCGACATGCCGCCAACTGCCGCCACCATCGATTCGACCCCTGGCTCCGCAAGTCGATTCGACTTCTCCACTTGTTGTAAGTCGTTGGCCGGCGGCAGGGGTCGGCAGATGAAGCAGCTTCCCGTCACCCTCGACCATGCCTCTCTCTAGATGATTCGGAAAACAGTATTTTTGATTTGCGGATTCTCGAGACCTTTGGCACGTCGTCAGCCCACGGTCCACACTTCCAGAGCCTGAACGCTGGATGTCTCTGATCTAGACCAAAGTCGTATGACCAATGTGTCACCATATTTCCGTTGGGTGATTTCCGAAGTGACATGTCTGACAACTGCGGCAGAGCCGTGCCCCCGCGGAGAGGGGTGAAGATCTTCGCTGAGCATCTTATTGCGCCATGCCTAGAGTAGACACTGGCAGGCTGGGCGCTGCGAGCTTGTCTTTGCAGGTTGGGGTGGGCTTCGACTTTGGTGACACGGTCAGATCCCAGGTGGCGGAGGGCAGGGCCTGTCAGACAGCTGGAGAATACGGCGTGCTTCTTTGGTCGATACGGAAAGTTTTGGGTGGCTGACAGGGTGTAACGTCTTGGCCGTGATACTTGGACGTCTTCCAGAAGAGACAGTACGGCTGTTGTCGGACAGGGATGCGGCAACGTTTGTCACGCCGCATGTAGAGACAGCTAGCCGGAACCGTTGTAGCATTCTTGATGCCAGTAGCGGGTCAAATGCCGTGGCAGCACGAGGCGGAGTTCCAACGACGCCAGAATTGCCCCGCCTGATCAACTCTCAGCGCGTCTGGACTTTGCGTCCGTTCTCCTAATCCCGGGCGGCGATTGCGTGGTATTCCCGCCTCCCATGGGCGCCATCATTGACAGCAAAGATGTCCGGGGCGGCGAGAAGAGCAGGGGTAGAGGCCTGATTAGGTGATGATGGTTCACGCCACTTGGCTGCGCGAGGGCAGCGTGGCCTTGGGACTTGGTGCTCCGTGCAATGTGAGGCAAAAGCAGAGACGGCGAGGATGTTGCAGACTGCAGACTGCAGCTGGATCCTCAGCAGGGCCCAGAGGTCTATGCATGGCCCAGAGCGAATCGGAGCGGGGTTGGGATTGACCGGATTTCTTCTTCGAGTAGGGACGGCGGCCAGAAAGACTTTGCATGCGTGATCAGATCGAGGGTGTTGACGTTGCTCATCCCTGGGACGAATGGGTCGTGTTGGGGAATGGATGATGATGATGATGATCAAGGCGAGAATGTTGTTGGCAGCGTGCAAAGACGCGGGCCAAACGACGTGGACGAGGACGTGGTCGTGGTCGTGGAGATAGAAGTCGGAGACGTTGATCGGGGTGGATCCCGCCTGCCACCAACGGGGAGGGAGGTGTGGAGTGACATTTTGCGGGCAAGAACCCCTGCCCCTGCCCCTGCCCCTGCCAGTTATCGCCCGATAAAGCTTAGTCATTCTCGTACCTTATCTCTCTCTTAAAATACCCACTTAAACTTATCGCAGGATTGGAGGGAATCGGGGGAGGAGCGACGCTATTCACACTTTCTCT